TAAGAGAGATAAGTGGACTAATTAGTGATTTTAAATTGGATATAAAACTTGGAAGAGTATTAGAAATTTTGTCTTTTGTATACGAGTTTTGATTGTTGGTGGTTTCCACATAAGATTTGGTTTTAGACTGGCTGTTGGAATTAAAGTCTTTGGCTGGAAAGACTCTTGAAATTATTTTTTTGAGAGCAACTTTGTAAAATAGTCATCCTTTGTAGTTAGCTATATATTCCTCATTGCAAAGGGTAAATTTGGCAGGACCTTGACGGTCTTTGGAGCACTTGTTTGTGGGGTGTTTATAATCACAACTTATGGATTTAGGTTCGTGATGGCAAATATTTCGCGTGCATTCGTAGGATTGGCAGTTGTGACACTGTGGAGGACCACGTTTTTTCTTATGTGGTTTCTCAATTGAAACGTTGGTATTGAGTAGAAACTTGATTTCGAGGACGTCTTTTTTATTGTCTTGTGTTAAAATATCAATAAAGAATAAGGGTAAAGAACATTTGTTTTTATTTTTAACGTTGTATATGTGTTTAACTGAGTATCTCAACTCAGAGATACTCAAATAATACCTTATTGAAAGCGGAGTAGTTTGAAATATTTTTGATGTGGTAGGTAGAGACAGGGGCCTCATATCTCGTTTAGTGTGAAACAGGTTCATTGGATTATCTTTGAGGTTAGTTAAAGGCGTAGTTGTTGCTACATCATTGTTGTCATCAGTGGCGAGTAGGGCAAAACGGTCCGGTGAAACATAGATTGGTTTTTTTGTCATTTTGAGTTAGTAAAATTGACGAGACTGACAAATTTCGTCATAAGGGTTTCGGTGAACGCGTCGAGGCGGGACCGGTATTCTGTGCGTTATTTATCGTTATGATGTTATTATAAGTTGGAACCGATAATAGCCATAATAAATTACTAATGAACACGCGTACCGATAATGGAGCGAATATGATACAATGTAATGTACATGTGTTCATAATGAAAATTACGGCCAAAATAGAACTATTTCTAAAAGTGGTTTATATATAAATGTTATATTTACAGGAACTCTCGGTAATTTCACAAAATCTATTGTATACTTAAATCGACTTTACAGTTGTAAAATTTCTTGATTTTCATTTATTCAAACGGTACAATAAAAATATGACGACATACTTCGTACAATATATTATATATATATACAATAATATTATAGTTGAATTATGAAACCATTCGGTCTTAATTTATTATGTTATCACTTACGCATCTTCTAGCAACGTTTATCTGTTTAAAATTTCCAAACACGCAATTTTACTATCACGTCGAATTACAGTGATTGCATTTATAATTTTATCGTAACTGCCGTGAGGTAACGTACGCGTTTTATCGTAAACGTTAACTTTACCATCCACCCCACTTCGTGGTGTTTCGTTTTTCGATAAGATACCGTTTGACAATTTATTTTATTTTGTTTGGCTCGTGTTATGTTCGAGCGAATATTCAGTTGTCTTCCTCGTGTTTTATATTTTTTTATTACAAGCGGCGGATGGTAACAGAAACCTGGGGGTGGTAGTATTCGAAGCTTAAGTACGTGTCTTATAAAAGTAAGAACGGCGTACAAAAGGTATTCACCATATAAAGTGCCGGCTTCTTCTTTTGTGCACCACGTCGTTGCGATATCGATTGAGAACAGTTCTCGAGAGCATTAAAATTGAGTTTAAGGTAAATCCGTGTACGTGTATGCGCGCGTTAAAAATATACCTCACTAACGGGTAAATAAATCCGTAAACGTACCGGCTGATCCGAGACAAAAAAAAAAAAAAAAAATAAATGAAAACGTTTTTGCTGCACGTTACGCATTTTTCGCCAATAACCCGTCTGATTTCGAAACATCGCCGAAGGTGGCTGCGAATTTTCGATGGGGTTTTTTATTTCCGAGATTGTAGATAGGTACGGAATTCCGGTCGGAAGGAAACGGTGCAATGCCATGTAATTAAGCTGGCTGTTGCAGCAGTTACACTCGACACGGCGAAACGAAGCGATAATTGTGTTTCCGCAGAGAAAAAACAACGGGTGCATGCCCGCCCGACAACTGATTCGTCATGCTGTTGTGGCTGCCAGTCATCCGGAAATTTTGCTGGTGCCGATATTAATTCCTGACGTCTTTCACCCATTCCCGTACTTCCTTTCTCGCATCTCTCTTTTTCCTCTCTTCATATTTCTATCTTTATCTGTATAAAACCATTTTTCCCGCAAAAAAACACAAACACACACACACACACAAACACACACACACACACACACACACACACACACACACACACTCACCTCATGGTTGCGATATTATGATTATAAGCTATTTGCGAGTTGTGCCACTCTCCTTTGCTCGCTGATGCCGTCGGTGATACGAGGCCGAAACCGCCGTACGCGTTGTACACAACAATATGTAATTTAAATAAAAGTGTTCCTTACCATTCATACCCTTTTCGTCTTGCACCAAGTCCGTACACACTTTAAGATGAAACTATAACATTTCATCAAGAAGCAAACAACAATCATTCCCAATATCACCACTGCGAATGCGCGTTTATTGATTAAAATTGCTGCAAAAATCACTCTTCATCCCGTGCTAGATATTATGCATAAGAAATAAAAGACTTCAGGACCAAATCGGCCAACTGGTATGCTTTACGTGCCGACTGCGCTTTTTTTGTAATAGAGATCATAGGTTTATTTAGTATGTATATGTCTTACCCATGGGCGCAACTAGAACCCAAATATTGCGGGTGCTGAAATTGCTGAAAATAAAGTAAAATGGTATTTAACTGTAATTACTCTAAATCATATAGATCTGAAAAAGAAAACAGGAGGGCTATATTTGAAATCAGGGGTGCTAATAACCCTATTGCGCCCCCCTAGTTGCGCTTATGGTCATACCGCCGTCAAAAATTACCATCTCTATGGTGTCGATTGTCAAATTGTTCATCTCGCACGACCACAAAATGCACTATATTTTTCCTTTGTTAATACGATTAATAGTATGAGTGATAGTGAACCACGCGGTTAATGCCACCCACTAGTTATAGATTTATAGATGATGGTGGGAAAGGTATTGGCGACTACGATGGTGACGAATCACTTAACTCGGAGAGACAAAACACAATATAAAAAGAGGATGATGAATATTCATTTTGTTTTTTAATACCGCAAGCGAATTTCTTAGAATTTAATATAAATATAGCACAATATCATTTATGGAGAAAACGTTTTCAAGATATTAGTATTATATGAACTAAAACGCGTTATTGTAGGCATAATTTAATGGTTTTATATTGGAAATATTGAAGCACATCACTTTTTTTCATCTTTACTTTTTTTTTCCAGATTAAAGTACTGACAATACTATTATTATGAGTGTTCAAAATACAATGAGGTTTGAAAATATCTTCTGGGAGGTATTACTTTTCTTGTATTAAAATGAGTAAACTCATAAATTCATATATGAATGTATAATCAAATCAAAAACTAAATTACAGTTATTTCGAAGAACTTAATAAGTATTAAAATATAAATTTTAATGACGTCGATTACAAAAAAAGCTGTATTAAATAATACATTAACATAATAGGTAATTATTATTACTAAAATTATTAAAAATTAAAGTTCATCGGATAAAATACAAATATCAGAATTCACTTAATTTATAACTGTATTTATGATTAAACATTGTGTTTTTAATATATAACAATGTATTACTACACAAAATAATATATTATGTAGAAGTGTGTATTTTTAGCGGAGATAACAATCACATTGGCACGATTCAGATTTTGCAAATATCCCTAGAAAATGATGCCATGGAACATTGTATTACAATAAATCTTTATTTTCTGTGGCTTATCATAATACAAATTTATTTAAATTTTGATTTATCAAAGAATGATGGTATACATTAGTATAACGCTTTAAAATATTAAAATAAAATCATACTTGATACTTGCTTTGATTATAACTAATTGTACAGCGTATTCCAGTTAGGAATACATTTTTTTTAAGATACTTCATCTTTTATTTTTTTTTATTAATATATAAACTCATTATATATTTCAGTCAAAATTCAAATTTTTAAAAATTTATAACTTTATTTTAAATTATAATATGTATTTTTTATTTTTAATTATAGCATAAAAATAGTATTTAATTTAGTACGAAGTAAATAAATGCACCAATAAATATATTTAAATGATGAATATATATTCAAAAACAAAAATTTATCTTTATTTTGAAAATTTACATCATAAATAAAATCATCCATTATCCAACTCAAATAGTTTTATTACAAAAAAATTAAGATTAATTCGTATAATATAAAAATCTCCTAACGTGACAATATTTTTTCGTAATAAAATTATAATAGTAATTATTGTATAAAAATGTAAATTGTTTACTCGTGGAGAACTTATATTTTAAAAATTAAGTTAGTTATTTAATTTACTTTTTATTTTCGTTTAATAAATAATATTCTTTTAGATGAATATGTGTGATCTCAAGTGATTTAAAAGACATTATACTATAATCCAGTGGCGCACAGAGGTTTTAGAATAAGTGGGGCTTAAATATTTTTTAGTATACCCACCACCCCAATCACATACAAATAACACGTTTGTTCTTTTTGAAAAAAAACATTTTTGCAATGCATAATTTTTGTAGGTATCATATCGTATATTAATAGGAAATTCAAATTTAAATGATTAATTTTACAACATATTATTATTATTATTATTATTATGGTACTATAAATTAATATGCATTTAATGAATTAAAAAAATGTTTGATTATAAATAGGTATTTAGTCATACTAGGCTAGAATTGTTCACAAAAATATTTATTTATGTAAGTACTAACTTCAATTTCAAATTTATAATATTATAATTATTAAAAATTTTATTTCAAATGCATGTAATAAATAATACATAAATAATATAATAGATATAATATTGGGTAAAAAAAATTATTATAATCTATAATACTAATGCTTTTAGTAGATGAAGACTTTTAGATGCACAGGTGTCAATGATATTTTCATAATTTACAATTATATCTTTTTCACGAGTTATTCTAATTAATCCTTGTAATCTCTCTTGTCCCATAGTAAAATGAAGTCGATTCTTCACTATTTTCAGCTTGGAAAACGCTCTTTCAGGACTAGCAGTAGTTATCGGTAACGTCAATCCTATATTTAACATTGTATAAACATTTGGGAATACAGATATTAAACCTTTATTTAAAAATATTTGAAAAATTGGTTGTTAACTTCCTAAATTGTTTTTAATGTTTGATGCAATATTTTCTGAATTATTATCTTCTTCGTCATTTCCATCATCGCTTTCATGTTCAGATTCACTCCCAAATATTTCTTTATATTTTATATGTAAGTTGTTTGGTAAAGCTTCTGATATTATAAGGGTATTAAAAATTGAAGCAAATTATAAGTACTCTGAACCTAAATATTTTTTATCAACAAACTTTCCATATATTTCTAAGATGAACTTGAAACTATCGTTTGGTAAAGAATTAGGATCCTTATTTTATAAATTACTTTACTTGTAAGAAGTGATAGATTTTTAAAAACACTAATTGATTTATTTCTAAAACGTTTTGATAGTTGTCTTAGTACTATGTCTATTGCAGAAAAATATGTATTCACTTTTATGTTTTGAATAGGATCTGAAATAACTTCATTATCTGAAAGTTCACCAGACATTTTTTTCTTCTTTTGTAAACGAGGAGTGGGAAGTTGAATGAATTCTTCATTTTCATCAGCTTGTTCTAAGACAAAAGCATCTACTTCTTGAGATAAACTTTCAAAACTCTCATCAGATCGAAGTATTGATATTTTTATTTTATTTTGTTCAATCATTGAAACAGCTAACATAAGATCTAGATCTTTGCTTTGTAATATTGAACTGGTTGGTGATAGTATATCAAACAATTTTTTTAATATCAAAGCTGTCCATACAAAACGATAAGTTTTTAAATAATCAAGTATAGCTCCAGCTTTAAATCCACTTTTTCTATCACCTAGTCCATCTTTATTTCGCATTGTTTCTAATGTGTCTAATACAGCCAAATATGTACTCAAAACCACGTCCAGTGCATATAAAAACGACATCCATCGTGTAGTTGTAACACGTTTTATTCGACGAATTTGTTTCTTATTATACCTTTATTTTTGAAACTGTTCATAATACATAACTATAATTTTACTTGAATTAATTATATCATAAAATTTTTCTAAATTTCCAAACATATCCATTCCATTGACTCCTGAATTTACGACATCAGTAATCACCAAGTTTAATCGGTGTGCCCAACACCATACATAAATAGTGTGAGGATTAATGTCTTTGATTAAACTTTGAAGTCCATTATAATTACCCCTCATATTGGCAGCACCATCATACGATTGACCAACAAGATGATTTTTCCAATCTAAGTTCAACGAATCACAAGTTTGTTTAAAGATATTCATTAATTCACAACCTGTTGTTATAGATGTTTCTAGGATAGCTATTAGGCGTTCATAAATACAGAGTCTTGATCGATGTAGCGAACAATGAATGACAATTGTTATTTTTGAGATACATCAAATGTTGTATCAAATGAAACACTAAAGAAAAGAGAATCCTTTATACTTTTATATATGATTCCGACAATTTCATCTGATATACATTCTATGAGTTCATTTTGTCTCCGCCATGTTATAAAAGACCACTGGGGTTTTATTATTTTTATTTTTTAAATTTGAAATGTATGGTGCCATTGTAGGGGAATAGTTTGAAACAAGTTCTACTAAATCTTTGAAATTTCCTCTCAATGAATCTGACCATTTTTCACGATGATCACGAAAAGCTAAAGAATGGCGGCTTAAAAACAATGTGATGTCGATAAGTTCTTTTACTATTCCACGGTTACAGAGGACTTCAAATTTTCTTTTTTCGGTCAGTGATGGAAGAATAGGTAATACTTGATTTCTCAATTTAAATTTTAAAGATGCATCAATATGATTTGATGATGTTTTATGAACTAAAATTTTCTGTAATGCATTTTTCCATTTTCTTACACCATTAATGATCCAGTTGTCTCTTTTTGTTCTACCAAATATCTGACAATGAAAACAAGACATTTTATCTGTGGAAATACAATATAATAACCAATCTCTATTAACTAAAGTCCCATCATTTAATTTTTTTGTAAACCACGACTCTTGAAAACTCCTGTGCTCCTCATTTGTTAGATACTTAAAAATATTATTGGTAGGTTAACAAGGCCCTTTTCGTACTATCATATCAGTAAATTCTGGTGTAATATTGATAAATGAATGAAATTTAGCCGGATCATTTACATAAATCAAATTTGATTGTGTTGAAGTTGAAATACATAATGTTTCTGAAAAAGTAATATTTTCTGAAATCAAAAAATATTATGTTTTAAATTAATAAGCAAGAAACTGAATATTAATTGCATAATGGTTATAATGTATTAATGTAGATATAAGTAAAGAACTATTCTTAATACTCAATAATTTTAACAATACGCGATACAAATTATGTCAGTTGTTTGTATTTAATACATATAAAATAATAACATATAAATATACTAATATGAATAAATATATATAATTATATGATTATCTTACCAGTAGATGTAGATTGTTCATTTTGATCATTTATTATACTCAAAATTGGAGAACAAGCTTGACTATTTTCTACATTTTCAGTATTATCATTACTATTAGTATCTAATGAAAACAACAAAAAAATTAAAAAATGGGTGTTTGAAATTTAAAACCATTTGAAGAAAAACAATTGAGTATATTACGTAGGACATGTGTAAATATATTATCTTGATATTAGTTTATTACCTAATTGAATTTTGATTCAAAAAATATTTATTGATGTCAGTATTCTTATAATAATGTAATCTATCTATTGTTCATTTATTATTGTTAAAATACTTATATTTGTCATTATATATATTTATTTAAAAAAGGTGCCTATCAATTAATTAATAGTTAATAATTTTCATAAGCCATCATAAGTATCATTGAAATAATAAGTTTTAAACTCTAATAGTATATTACCTTTTACATAGTTAGGTACTATTTAGTTAACTAACCAACAATGTGCCAAAGTTGAATGTCAAACACATTGGAAAAATTAACTGCCATTAATAAAAGCAAATAATTTTTTTTAATGGCTGTACCATGTAAGTATGGCTATCTGAGATTTTGATGCACTTTATATTGTTTTCTAAAGCTAACTAATGGTTCACAAATGAATTTCATGTATGTACGTTTGAATGAGAATAAGAAAATTTATTTGGATTTTTTGACAATTTTTAATTTTTAGGTTATTTTCTTAATTTTTAAGGGTATTTTATAGTTCATAAAGTATTTTTGGAGTTTTTAGATAAATCTTTTATTTTTACACATCATTTTAATTAATTAATGATGCTCCAAATTTAACTATAAAGTACCTACCTACCTATAAATTATAATATATTAAGAACATCATAATTATGTCAAGCTGCCCAATTCTTTCTAATTTTCTTTTCTTGGTGAAAAATTCTTTTATTGAAGCATTGTTTAAATTTATTTTTGGTTTATGTGGTATAAGCGCTTTTAATCTACAGCTTTTCACATGTCTGTTCAAATTTGTATGGTTCATATATCCTCTTTCGCGTCCACAAATTTCGCAAATTTTCATTGTTTACAAATAAACTTTAAAATAATGAAATTAGGAAACAAACCATTAATATTAAATATTTGACATTTTGATTAGTACATTTGATAAATTTTTAATGAATAATTATTAATAACTTTTACTTACCGGCCGCCGTTTTAAATAACATAGAAAATTCAAAATTGAATGTTCGTATTCTAGTTTTTCGTAGAAATTGCTTTCAGTTTCAAACTTTCAAATCGCAAAGTTAAAAACTTAAAGCACACAGCACAGTGCACACATTTAAGTACCAGCGTTCAGCAGTAGTAATCGTAATGATAGACAATAAGTCAATCAATACACATTTGTCTGCACTCTGGCTTAGTACCGCTGGACGTCTGGTTGGCTGATAGCAAATAATATTACGAGAATATAATTATTCCTAAATCCTAGAAGGTTTTTAAAAATAACATTTAATACAGTTTTATTATCTTTATAATAGTCGATATTTAACCAACACCGCCAAACCAAAATCATAATAATGAGTGTTATAGAGTGAGGGAAAATAGTTGATCAGTCGTTGTCTAATGTCTAAAAATAAATTATCACTAGATATATAGATAATATGTATTTAATATAAAATTATATCATTTATATCTTGTTCACGTCTTGTTGTATTTATATTCATTCATATTACAAATAAACAGTTAGTTATTAGTTATACCTTAAACTAATTACAAAGTTACATTATTACATATTTATATTACAACTTATTAAATCTACAGATTATAGTGTTTCAACTTCCAAATACTACCAGACACCCACCCCGAAAATAAGTGTGACTTAAGCCACACTAGGTATAGCGTGTGAGCGCCACTGCTATAATCGCATATCTGATTGATCTATGAGCATCACACATGAATGGATTATGTGTTTATTTTCAATCTGTACTTGTGTAGCTTAAATGTCTGCATATAAATTCAATATAAAAAAATAAAAATGCAATTTCTCCATTATAATGTGTGGTAGTAGTGTGTTATAAAACGAAATAAATGAATTATAATTATTTATTTCGCTCGAAAAGTGGTATTTGTGTTATTTTTATTTGTATTATAATATTATACTGTATAAAAGCATCAATGTTTATTAATACCTATTGTTATTATTTATTAATCATATTTTATATTAAAATCATTGTTACTAGTCGTTTATATATATATATATATATATATTTTCTGAAATAAAAAAATCTTAACACATGTATATTTTGATCTACAGTATAGTGTACCTAGTTTGAGAAATAATAACATACTTCATATCACGTTTTATTAATTTCCATCACTATAGCTAATCTATCTATATGAATCAGTACTATTTCAATTGCGTGTCTCATAAATATTCTATTCTAATAGTTGACACGCAACTAGATTTTTGATTGACTACTATTTATACCATTACACGTACCAATATCAATGTCAGTTAAACAATACTGGTATAATCTAATAACATTGGAAAAGGTAATTTCAGTGGTTACGCGACGTAGTTGTAACAATCCATCCAAATTTTTTTTTATTTTTTCATCCAAAATAAAATCAGAAGTTCACTTGATTTAAATAATTTAAATTAGTCTCCACCTCGCACATCATGTTGGTGTGGCAGCCAGAAATATTTTTTTATGAAAATTATGCTATCGAAAAAAAGGAGCATTTCCGCAGCTTACGCAGCCTAAAACGCATTTCTCCCTTCCTTGGAATGGATAAAATTTTTATTATATTTTCATAACGGATTTTTCGTACATGTACTCGGTTTTGTAGTATATTCGATTACTATACTAGACAGATATAGGAATAACGCTTCCATGAAAGTGTTTATAGACATCGTAGAGTCGGACGAGCGCGGAAGAGCAGAAGTGTAGCGCAGTCGGGAAATAAATTCACGCCCATAGTTCAGTGTAATCCGAGGATTAAGAAACGGAAATGTGAACAAATTGCTTCCTATAGGGAAGCAAGAAAAAAATAAAAAAATGAAAAAAAAAATTCGTAAACGAGAAAAAAAAACTTAGCCAGGAAAAAAACGGCTATGCGAATAATAATAATAATAATGAAAATGTATACGAACGGCGGATATTGAACGAACCGGCAATCATATCGTATATTTGACGAGAATCTAGTGGCGTAACACTAGATACTCGTTACGCGTCTTATTCATTTCAAAAAAAAAAAAAAAAAACTATTCGGATTTTTCCTTTAGAAAAAAAAAGCTCCATGGCGTCCTTACATTTACTTCGCTATGCGTTGTTCGACACGCAGTACTCGCCACGTGTACAAATTTAAGCCTCGAATGATTTTTAACGCAAAGCTCATGTTGGTACATGACGTTTAAAACAAACTATATTTGTAGACTATGACGTTTCTTACCCTGAAGTATATGTACCTTCTACAAATGTATTTAAACGTATCGAAAAAATTCTGTAAGTATTTACGAGTTCAATGCAAACCGATTCTACGATATTTATTTATGTGCAACTAGATATTTTTGGAGTTCCATTTAATAAAGTTTGATTACACACTTTTAAATCCGGTAAAAAACACTTTACATTTAAAAATCCGTCATAGCGTACAAAATCTTAGGACTTGCTTCAGTGTAAACGCTTTTTATAATTTCAAGTACCTGTTCATTTGCGTTTACATAGCTACCGTACACATAACCATCTACGAACTTCCTCCTTCCGAATGCTGCTGATGCGTGATGGTGTATTGATGTACTGACGTAATGAACAAAATAATCTCGTGATTTATGACCTTTGCGAGTTCAGATGTACAAACATACACACGCATAAGTAATATTATATAAAAAAGAAATGTGAAATCGTCGCTCACTGCTACTACCGCTGGCCGGGCTGTGACGTATTTATTTAAACAACATCCTTTGTCAATGCCGAAAAAGGCAAGTTTCCTTCAGAAAACCGTTAATATTGTGATGGACTTGGTTATATAATATACCAAAATTATCGCACTACGTTATTCAAATATTTATTTTAATTTCGCACTTCGTTTAGACAAGATTACTATTTAGATTAAATACGCGAGCGCGTGCATGTGTGTAATGTGGGTGCGCGGCGTGCAAACCGTATTAATACATACATCGTTCGGTATATAACATTAATTAATAATATTATTTACATGGCGTGTTTCTAGTTTATGTTACTGAACGTCTAACATGTCATTATTTTATTGAAAACAATTTTAACTTGTTTCAAAAAAAGTGCGTTCATTCTTTCGTACTTAATTATACAACAAGAGTTTTTCGACTTTTCGTGTTTTATACACTCTACAAAACTAAAACTTGAATTCAATAATTAAACTTCACCAATACAATTATTTTTAATCGAGACGGGAAGACTTTTCAAATTTTAATATGCATGTTTAAAATCTGGTGCATTAATCGGAGATTAAATTAATTTATGTTTGTTCTTGAACATTCTTTACCGAGCTTTTCATTTTAAATTAATTTATTGGTCTATAATAAATATTTAGTTACTTGTTGCTGTCACATGATAAATTAGTGAAACTAAACCGAATAAATTAACTCAGTTTTACAATCATCAACTTATATACTGCCTAAGAAGTTAAGCTAAATTAACTAAGTTAATTTTGCTTATGAATTTAAATTAATCATGTTTATTTACTTATACTATTTTATATAAAAAGTATGCTCATTCAAAATCAGTACGGTAGAAATGTTTAAGACTTCAATGAATTTATACTGATAGCAATCCGATGTTATTTGATTATGATTCTACATTTTTTTCAAAGGAATAATGTATTATTTGGTGTATTAGTACTTAACATACTAATGAAGGAGATATATCTATAGTGTATTGTTTGGAGGAAAATTTTCAATAAGTTATTTACGAGTAAATAACGTATTGATATACGTCAAAATATTGTATTACAAGTGCAATCGGTATTATTTATTTTTCAGTTCAATTTATTATTATAATGTTAATTTTAATGTAAATGGGACATGCGCATAGAAATAATATTTCATATTCCTACGTTCAAACTGTATACTGTGTAAATGTTACGGCTGGGTAATAGCAACCTTTACTGAAAATATTACTATAATATTATAAGATATATTCATAACGTTTATTACCATACTCAATGAACCGTTTTATGAGGGCTGGGTATGCTATAAGGGGACTATAAAAGAGAGAGAGAAGTACAAATATCAGTGATAGGAGTATGGGAAATAAATACGACTGGCCAATTTGATATTGTGAACTACAGTTTCCGTGTTGAATTTTTATCATTGTAGATTTTTTAATTTTTTTATCAGGAAATAAATTTGCATGAGCATTCAAATGCATAAAATCCATTATTTAAAGTTTAAACTAATCTACATACCTGTGTCGTATGAAAAGCATTGCTCAAAGTTGATTTTTCAAAATAATTTTAGTCTTCCCTGAAAAAAAAAATTACATAAATACAATCATCAAAATTAAATAGCTTAATGACTTTATGACTTATTATTAATTTCAAATGCCTTTCATCAACATTTTCTTAGTGATACACATGTTGGTGACAATAACGGGTCGGACTCATGGGTCGTTCACCCTTATTAGCAAGTCAGCCATACACACACGCACACACATTACATAATACCATTAGATATAAGTTTACGTTAATCAGTGTTATCGCTATTGTTAATTATTATAAGCTTATATAATTGTGTCGTGTGTTTTTGTATTTTGTCTCCGTCGTCTCTGTCGTTCTCTGTACGTCGTCGTTATATGCTGTAGCGTTTTTGAAAATAAGTTTATATTTTGTGGGCGCAAATCGTCGTCATTTTTATATTTTTGTGGTCTTGTGCGAACCACCGCCGAATGCGTGTGTAGTGTGTTATTCTTTTTATTTTTATTGTGGGTACGAATTGCCAGTTACCTTTTTATATTGTGTAGGTACGAATTGCCAATATTATTATTATAATTTTTTATTATAAATTTTAATGTGCACGAATCGCCACTAAATTTTGTGAATTTTATTATATTATTATACGAGCGCTAATCGCCGTAAATTTTATATTAACAATTATTGTGTGTGCGCTAATCGCCATTATTTTTTTATTATTATTGTAGATTTAAGTATAGTTTTTAGATAATTGCAGCTGGCCAGTCTGCGCTCCACAAACTGTAAGTTTTTATATATTTATTTTATTATTTAATTATTATTGTGCCATAAGGGCCATTATTATTATCAATTATTATATTGGTTGTGCCGAATTGGCATTTTAGTTAGGCTCAAATAGCCAGAGTATATATTATTATTATTTATATAATTTACGTGTTGCTGTGAATAATTTTTTGTTATTACCATATTTATTTTAAATTTTATAATTTATTGTTGGGTCAGAAGGGCCGATTCCTATAATTTATTTTATAAATACAGCAACATAGTTACCATATTTTTTACATTATTTTAGTTACCATTTTTTATTCCTTCCATAATTTAAAGTACACACAACACACATACACACTTACACACCCATAGCACCACATAGTCGGACAGTATTTGCACGGCAATCCCAACCATCACTGTCCGATCTATTTACACATTACACACTTACACATCGTGTGGCCGACGAACTCGGTTTAGGTAGTGCGTACGGAGTAGTGGTGTCCGGTGCTCGGTGCTCGCGTATTATCTCTATACGCTACCGTACGTACGTACTACCGTATAAAACACCTATATATATTTTTTTTTTTTACAACATTTCAGTAATTTATCTTTTTTTTTTTTTGTTATAAGAAAAATCACAAAACTTTTTATATCTAATTTTCATGTTTTAAGTATAAAAATTGATAGTTTTATGTATTTTTAACTTCAAAAATAGCCCGGATTTTCATAATTTGTATCGTATTGTCAAAATTTAAAATTCAAACACAAGTAAATTTTTTTTTTAAATCACGTTTAATTTTATTTTATAAATCAGCAATAGATTTAAATTAAACTTTCAAAATATTTTTTCAAACTAAATTTATGTTTTAATTATATTAAAACCAATATATTTGTCGTTCCACTCAGAATAGAATAGAGAACAAAATAAACTAACAATTGTTCATAATAAGTGTTTTCATAAAATAATATTACAAGTAAAACCACTATGATTTAAATAGTATAATTTATAAAAAATTTATTATTAGAATTTTCGTCAATACTCGTAAGACGTATTTTATTTTATGTATTATATGTATAATCGAGCACATATTTATATTATGTTTGACTCATTGTATTCACTTTGTTTAAATTAATATAATTTTTAATCTCAAAAATAAAATGAATCCAGTTCATGAAATGAAAGTCCTCATTATTTTATTTTAAATAAACTAATGAAAACTCAAAAGTATTCTCAGTTAATATATTTATAAGTTAAATGCCCAAAAAACATACTTATATAGCTGTTATACCAATTTAAATTTTACAATGGGATACTCATTCAATCTCTTTATCTATCAGTTGTGCAATTAACATGTTTATTGTATTTTAAATACAGTACCTTCAAATGTAGCAAAGTTTTCACTAATCAATTGACTGGGAGTATACAGTTATATGATTAATACTAAAAAAAATAATGCGACATTCATGAATATTAGGGTTGTAAATTTGAAATATTTCACATGAAATATTTTATAATTGAAAATTTCACGCTTTATGAAATATTGAAAAATATTTTTTTTACGTTTGAGATAGTGACTGTAATATGTCATTTAATCAGTATGATATCGTTTCAGTACAATCTTGGGCTTTCCCATATAACGTGGTTTAGTCTATCAGCTGCCTATAAATAGGTAACGACCACAGATATGTTTAATATATATATATATAT